GTGTTCATAGGCTGCTTACCATCAAAGATGCTTGTTTACCACCTCAGTGGTATAAAAAAAATGTTTCTGGTGCAATAAAGAGTTAAATATATATATATATTTTAGAAGGATATTTTGAATCTACATTTTAATAAATTTAAAACTGTTGTTAAAAAAAAACACTTATTGATCTAAACCTATTTATTACACATTAAACGATTACTTGAATTACAAACGTGCAAGATGTAAGTCGATCATGTAAGGGTTTTTTTAATGACTATGCAGTTTTAGACATAGTAGATTTAAATAAATATAGGAGTATCTATAACATATATATATATATATATATATATATATATATATATATATATATATATATATATATACAATAAAGAATGGTAAACAAGCTGACGGCCCACCTAATGGAAAGTGGTAACCGTCGCCTATAGACATGAGCAGTACCGTGGACATAACAGAGTACACTGTTTCGCCCATAATACTTCCATGCGTTGCCATTCCTGAGGACTCAGGTGTTATTCCTCTGTACCCTGTAAATTCACGCCATATCCTACCCTTCAAAACCGAAACACAACAATGCAAACACAACTGCTTTACGGTTGAAACACGAATGGGACAGAGGTATCCCAACGAACAACTTTTGTACAAATTCTCCCTCTAGTAAAATAAATAGGTATATTTATCTGTAAATAGGTATATTATTTCAGATGAAAAAAATCCAAATCGGTTTAGAACTAAAGGAGTCATAAGATAAGGTATATATATATATATATATATATAAAAAATACCTACAACCGAATTGAGAAACCCCCTCCTTTTTAAAGGCGATTGAAAAAAAAAAAATTTGTGATTTATTTGTTTTATTTATGGTACACTAGCAGCCCATCCCGGCTTCACACGTGTGGACACTTTTACATTTTAAAAAGTGGCCATTAAGGCTGCACACGCGACGGAAGCTTAAAAATGGAGTAACTTCTCCCGTTTTCCCAACATTTCCCTTCACTGCTCTGCTCCTATTGATCGTAGCGTGATGAAAAGTGATACTATAACCTGCCTAGGAGTATGAAGAATAATTGTACCAAGTTTCGTTAAAATCCGTTGAGTAGTTTATGTTTCTATAACGAACATACAGCCAGACAGACAGACAAAAATTTTACTGATTGCATTTATGGCATCAGTATCGATCACTAAACACCCCCTGATAGTTATTTTGGAAATATATTTCATGTACGAAATTGACCTCTCTACAGATTTATTATAAGTATAGATTTTTAAACTTGACGCTCCATTTGGATATCCAAATAAAAATCTAATATTCCTTACTGTTATGGTTTCCTGCAATCACTCGCGTAATTCAATATTATCGTAAAGTATCAAATTTAATTGAAATCCATTCAGTTGTTGAAATTTGATTTTAATAATTCATAGACATATTTATAAACATCCTTATAACTAGGGTAAGAGGCTTTTTATGCAACTTAGAATGGCAAACAAGCTGGCGGCCCACCTGATGGAAAGTGGTAACCGTCGCCTATAGACATGAGCAGTACCACGGACATAACAGAGTATACTGTTTCGCCCATGATACCCCGCATGCGTTGCCATTCCTGAGTACTCAGGTGTTATTCCTTTGCACCCTGTAAATTCACTACCATATCTCACCCTTCAAACACAGCCATGCAAACACAACTGCTTCACGGTAGAAACACAAATGGGACAGAGGTATCCAAGCAATCGACTTTTGTACAAAGTCTCCCTTTGGTAACATTAAATTTGGTAACACCCAAAATGGTTACATATTTATAATTCTCTCTTTACTGGCAGCGTATTTTTAAATTATACTTTACTTATACTTTATTTTATTTTTATTTGTATTTTATTTTTTATTTATTTATTCTTTATTGACCACATTACAAAAAAAAGTTCTGGTACAGAAGGCGGACTTAATACTATATAGCATTCTCTCGCAGTCAACCTTTGGCAAAACAGAAATGGAATTATGCGGTGAAAATTTGAAAATAGTTGTAGATAAACAATTACAATATTGTGTATTTATAAAAAGATAATGTTAATTTAACATATTGATCATCCAATCAATAATAAAAACAGACTGCTTCTTTGTACATCAACTAACAAAACTTACATCTATGCGTACGAATGTAACACGAGAAACGATGGAATGACCCTTTTGTAATATAAATATACATATAAATTATAATAACAATTAAAAAGGTAAAAAAATTGTCTTAAGATACATTGCTATCGTTGCGGTACAAAGGAAAGAACGTGTTGTTATACACAAATTGTTGAATTTCCTTAGTTAAAACAATTTAACCCTTTAAGGGGGAAGGGATTGTAAGCAATAGAGAGATTAGTCCCCATTGCTATCAATATACCCTATCAGGTCGACCTCCACGCGGTTCCCCCTGGAAACTGTCGTGACTAATATTGTTGAATTCATCACGATGGGCTATAACTGACTTGCCTTTTCATCCTCACCTATCACCTCTCACTGGTACCTCGCCAGTGTAAACTAATAGTGCAGATGGGGTTACCATGCCATTTTCATCATTAAAAAAAACCCTTTAATTTAGGGGTAGAGGGATGTTAGTAATGCGGACTACTAATGCCACTGCTAGGAATATACCCCATTAGGTCCACCTCTACGTGGTCCCTCTTGGAAACCATCATGCTGAATTCCAGGTATATTCATCACGATGGCCTAACTAACCTGCTCTTTCATTTTCACTTATCATCCGTCACTAGTTTCCCGCCGGTGTATACCTATAGCGCAGGCGGGGTTACCATTCCATTATTTTTAATTAATTATTATTAAAAAAAAAACCTTTAATTTACATAAGATAATTAATAAATTAAAAATATAAATATTTAAAAAAAAAGGTCCCCATTAATAATTATACAAACTCCCTAGGAGGCATATGTTTAGCAATGACTAACAAACATCATCATCATCAATTATGATATAACATTTTTCTTCACAACGTCCCATAAAATAAAAGCAACCGAACACGGGTAATCAATACCTACACTATTTTAATAAAGACATTAGTAGTTTTTTTTTTTTTTAATTTGCAAAGAGCTAATGTTGCCCGTTAATTATTAATGAATAAGTATAATAGTAATAAATAAAATAATATGCGAACAAAATGTCTTTTCGCAAATATAGATTTTATAAATATAAATTTAATCAGAATGGTAACTTTATTGGGACGATTAGACATAATTGGAACACTGAATTAATCGTTTAACTAGGTTATGTTAGATACAGCATTCTCTATAAATATATTTTACTTATACTTTTTTAATAATTCGAATAAATTGATGTATATTTATTATATTTATTATATTTACCTAACTAAAATAAAGTACCTAATTTTTTTTCACATAAACTTGTCACAACATAATAATTATATTAGTTAGGTATTATCCAATAAGTAATATTAAATAAAATCAACTTTGTAAATATAAAAATAGTATTCAAGATGGTAAGTAAGTGTATAAGTACTTGTTAAAGTAGGTATTTAAATTAAAAATAAATTTAAGAAGTAGGCACCTATCTAAAATGTAAAATTCTAAAACACGTGTAGATAATCCTTAGTAATATTATAAATGGCAAAGTGAGTTTGTTTGTTACTTTTTAGTAATAATAATATTAATAATAATATTAATAATAATAATAACTTTATTGTAGCTAAAAGTCGGGTATACAATTTCTTATACAGTGATTACTACACTAGGCTCGCAGGCCTTTATCGTAGTAGTCAGTGAGTGGCTAATTTTGTTCATATTTATTGCCATTTACAATACGGTTCCTGTACAATTTTATCATTTAGATATCGAAAATTAAAATACATTTAAAATAAAAATAATTCAAAAAAAAAATATAAAATACTAAACAAGAATAAAGAAAAGAATATTAATGTAAAACATTTAAGGTTCTATAAGGTACTTATACTTAGTGCTTTAACGAATCAAAAATCGCATTAAAATTTAATATACGTGTGTTATTTGGAATGAAAAAGGACATAATAATAATAAACATACTGTTTATCCTAATCAATCGATAAAGTCCGATCACGCGGACAAAGTTGCAGGTAAAAACTAGTAAATTTATATTAGTAAGACAGATATTTGCAGATACTTCTACACTATTTACCTGTCTAACACTGTAATGTATTATTATCGGATAGATATAGCGTAGGTGTGTAAAATGAAATGTAGGTCTTTGCTGAAAATATAAACTTAGCATAAATAAACATAACGCCTTTTCCACGAAGAAGCGGTATAATAGTTGTATAAAATATATGAATATAATATAAAATACACGCATAAATCTACGACATACATTTAACTATTTATATAATGTTTATCTATTTCATATTATTTATTTTTTAAAATAAATTTGGAATAAAAAAAAAAAATAAAAAATAAAAATGTACCTAACTCTACTTTTTTCTGTTTAGATGTTTCGACTCTAGTGAACTGAAATATATTAGTATATAGATTTTTATAGCAAAGAGAAAGTAATAACAAGACTTGCTAAATATATACGTATATACATATTTGTAAAAAAATCATAATTATATAGACAGCGACCTAGGTAGGTAAGTATCGCGTGTACACATATTTGATGGCGTGATGTCTAAAATCAATAAAGATAAATTGGCATATGTATACGTGAACAAACGTACATCTCATGCTATCTACCGATTTCTATATAAGGGGCATAATAAATTAAAAAGTCAACTCATCAAAGTTTTGTCTTCGCCTAAATACATGACAAGTAACTTCTCCCTCCTTGTTTCCCCTCTTACACAAAGTGACAATAAGTCTCGTACACACACAAGTGTATTGTTTGAACACTCGCACATACACAGAACCGGCTAGGTATTCGGTTTCCCGCCACCACCGGCGCGAACACGCACACAAAACACGAAGAGCAAACAATACAAACACCAACACACAAGTAAATTTAAACTCACCTCAAAATAAATCCATTAGAAAACACACTTGTTCAAACAACTAGCGCTTAGCCTCGAAAACGCGTTGAAAAAACACTCGCCAGCATCCGATGTGTACTCAACACTTTTCCAAACTTTCTGTGCAGCCTACTTCTTAGTTAGCACCTCCCGTGATTCTTCCCGCCAAAACGCAAATTCCGTAAGTATTAACTTTGGCAAACAACAGCGCCTATCTCATTTAAATTCGAAGATGTTCAAATAGTATTCATGTATTTTTTAACGAGGTTATTATTTGAAAGTATAAATTGTTATCGCTTTAATTATGCCTGTCTGCATGAGTAATCTTGATTCCATAGTCCAAATTTGCGAATGTTCATTTTACAACACAAAACGCTTCCGCAATCGTGGTCGCGAGTTTAAATCAAACACGATAGCAAAATAAAAGAAACTGCGACAAGTGGCCCCAACACAATTATTAACACACGTTGCGCGGTAAAAATAAACTATGATTAACTGCTATTAAGATTCGCGGAGACAACTCGCGCCGGCATCGAGAACGACATACGAATGGTTTGCAAAAAAACAAATAAATAAAAACCGAATTATAATAATCAACAAAGAGGACCTGCCAATAAAATCGCGAATTTGTTTACCGCGTTGCTATTTTGGTCGTTAGAAGCGGTTCCGATATGAATAATTATTATCGCCGGCGAGCGAACATCGACGCATAGTTGTCGTTTCATAAAACGTGCGCGTTAAAACTGAGTCGAAAGGCTCGCCCCGTGTCGGAGCATAGCGCCGAATAAAATAAACAACAATATACCTAAATAAGCGGCTCGACGGGCGCGGCCAAGTGTGCGTGTATACAGCTGTGTGCGTGTGTAAACAAGGGGCAATACGGCTTGCATGTCATCCTGACTAACAATCACCAACTGCAATTATTCATGGCTCACATTTTTTACAACTTGACTTCTTGGATCCGTAATTTGAAGTTCCAGATGAATGACAATATGAAATCATCTGATTAAGTAAGCGATTTATATAATACAATATAGATTTCTTGAATCGTACATTAACAACATATACATACATATGATTCAGTTAAGCACTTTCTCGTATTTAAAGAATAAATAGAAAAAAAAAGTTATGAAGTTTTTTCAAACTTGTACAACATTCAACTGTAAAAAAATATTTTAATCTTGCATTTACTTTTATATATTAAATTTCCCTTCAGATAACTCTGTCTAATAAGATTTTCTTCGCTGTCCAGGCTAAGTGTGTTCCCAGTTATACTACCATCAATATATTCATAACATATAATAAAATATTAAAATAATACAACAATTATTTTACTACTCGATTATATGTATCTTAATTGAAATTTTTTATCAATTAGTATTTTCTGGTAGAGTTGTTTAGAATACTTATAAACTATAAGTATTGAAGTGTTTTCCAGTAAACATTTACTATTTCGGTATACTTACATACATATGCGAAGTATTTACATAAAAGAAGTAGATTTAGTCAATTAATAGTCGACTAAAATATTTTTTATTACAATAAAAATTATATTACTCTTATCGTCCAACTAGCCCCAACTTCCCCGCCAGAATAAACATATGACGTCACCGACGGGTAAACAAACAAACAAACACATGCGCCGCGCTCATGTTTCCTTAATACAATTATTATTTCGAATGTGGAACGCGAACGGGACGGACACGGCCATAGCTTATTGCGATTTATTTTTAATTTCGCGAGGTTATGCCATGTGCCGTCTAGGCGGCCAGCATCATGTTCATTGTCTATGCGAATTATTTATGCGAATTAATTAGACTCGAGCTGTTTACCACAGACAATTTAAAAATAAATGTTCACTATAACATAATTCGGCACTTACCGGCATTTATTTATTTTGTAACATTGAATTCCGTTTGGATTAAAATTCAGCGTATAGTTTATAGAGCTACTCTTGCTGAATAGTAACAGTCATTGTCGAAGTATTTGTACTAGTTTGATTGCCTTATAAGGGTGCCATATTATTATTAATCAATCAATAGGTAGGTACCATTATAAATCCGTGAATCAATGTATTTGTCTACTCATATAGTTTATTTGTTTTTTTTTAATAGAATGGTAACCGCGACTACGCTATCTGTATACACTGGCGGGGCATCAGTAAAATAAAACCCATGACAAAATCTACAAGAATTAATCACGATGGTTTCTGATGATGATGGGGGAACCGCGTAGGTGTCAACCTGATTTATTTATTTATAAATGTATAAATTGCTCAATTCACTTACATTTTCCCAGAACGTGTAGTGTGGCAAAGATTCATGTTACAAACTTAAACATTTTAAACAGCATTTTGGAAATGTATACTCGTATTAATTAATATTGTAAACAAGCGTTTGCCCGCGACTTCGTACGCGTTGATTTGAGACGTAGGAAAACCAACGAAGATGAAAACCTTCTAGATGGAGTATCAAAATAAAAGTTTACACAATATGTTAAGTTCGAACTTCCGAAACCTTGGTGGAGTGCATATAAAGCATGCACCAATGCGGTTGCTTTTGAAATAAATATCAATTAATCGATATCGAGGGCAATATTGAAGGATAGGCAGCAGCGTGATAATATTATAAGGCGTAACACCTTAGGAATGACAACACCTCAGTTGCATCAAGGGCGTCACAGTATACACTGTGAGGTCTATGTTGTTGTCCATTTTTTTTATACAACTTAAAATGGCAAACAAGCTGACGGCCCATCTGATGGAAAGTGGTAACAGTCGCCTATAGACATGAGCAGTACTATGGACATAACAGAGTATACTGTTTTGCCCATGATACACCCTATGCGTTGACATTCCTGAGGACTTAGGTATTCCTCTGTACCCAGTAAATTCACTGCCATATCCCACCCTTCAAACCGAAACACAGTTATGCAAACACAGCTGCTTCACGGTTGAAACACGAATGGGACAGAGATACCCAAGCAATCGACTTTTGTACAAAACTCATGTTTATAGACGACGGTTACCACTTTCCATCAGGTGAGACATCGGTTTATTTGCCTAGAATGATAAACAATTTTAACTAGGATGTGTTGTATGTACAAACATTCTGTAAAAAAAATATCTGAATGACAGAGAAACCTGTATCAAAGTCTATTGCGGGGTTTAGAAGAATAGCGACTAGCGACTTTGTTTCGTACTATTTAGTGATAAAACGACAGTTTGCGTGATACAATTAATCAATTACAACATTGATATAAGTTTAAAAAAATTGGGCTGTTTTATTGTTGCGTTTATAGAGAGACACTCTATCTATATGTTATTGATCTAAGTACATTTACTATCGAATGTATTAAAACATTCAGATTATAGGACGAACTCCCTGTGGAGGTTTTTCCAAGAAGCTACAACTTGGGGTTCTCGGGGGGAGAAGGGATTGTTAGTAATGGGGATTAGTAGCCCCATTGCTAGCAATATACTTTGTCAGGTCGACCTCCTCGTGGTTCCCCCTGGAAATTATCGTGATTGATTTATTTTTAGATTCGTCACGGTGGGCTAACTGACCTGTTTCATCCTCACCTATCATCTCCAACTGGTGCCCCGCCAGTGTATACCGATAGCGCAGGCGGGGTTACCATTCCATTATCGTCCATTAAAAACTTGGGGTTCTTCAAAAAAGGAGTGAAGAGGTTTCTCCAGACGTTCATAAACTACGGTAATCGGTTACCATTTTTTTTAATGGGTGAAAATGGTATGGTATCCCCGCCTGCGCTAACGGGATACGCTGGCGGAGCACCAGTGAAGGGTGATAGATGAGAATGAAAACAGGCCAGTTGGGCCGTATGCTTGTTTACCATTTCCGTTATAAAAATAACTATTTTAATATATATATATATATATATATATATATATATATATATATATATATATATACGAGGTTTGTCCGGAAAGTACGTATGATTTTATTTTCATCAGGTAAATCAAATTAACCATGATAGTTTAGGTTTCTCAGCTGCCCCGTCGTAGCTTTTTTTATCTCATTTATGTCCCCCAAAGGGGAACCACGTGGCGGCGAATAGGGGGGGTCGACCTGATTAGGTATATTGCTAGCAATGGGATTTTTACTCCCCATTACTAACAATGCCTTTCCCTCCAACCGCTTACCATTAGGTGGGCCGTATGCTTGTTTACTATTTCATGGTTATAAAAATAACTATTTCCAGAACACTTTTATACGAACTTTCCTGACAGACCTCGTATATATATATATATATATATATATATATATATATATATATATATATATATATATATATATATATATATATATATATATATATATATATATATAAGGTTAAAATCAAGGTTAAAGTTAATGGAGCTTCTATGAGAGACCTCTAAAACTTTTATAGTTGTTTTTGTTGCCGTTTTTGTTTTTTTTTATGGAAAAGGGTGAAAACATAATATAACAGATACTATATAAGCATAACTACGTATAGAATAAATAGGCGAAGTGGCATTGGGTCACATTTTTCTTTTTATACAACTTAGAATGGCAAACAAGCTGACGGTCCACCTGATGGAAAGTGGTAACCGTCGCCTATAGACATGAGCAGTGCCATGGACATAACAGAGTATGCTGTTTCGCCCATGATACCCCCATGCGTTGCCATTCCTGGGGACTCAGGTGTTATTCTTCTGTACCCTGTAAAGTTACGCCATATCCCACCCTTCAAACCGAAACACAGCCATGCAAACACAACTGTTTCACGGTAGAAACACGAATGGGACAGAGGTACCCAAGCAATCGACTTTTGTACAAAGAACTGACAATCGATGGGGTAGAAAAGTTCTTGAGTGGCGACCCCGTTCGAGCAAACGCAGTGTAGGACAACCCCCCACTAGATGAAGTTTCACTTTAAATGCATTGCAAGGAGTCAGTGGAAGCAGATGGCTCAGGACCGTTCCTTATAGCAGTCTATGGCGGAGGCCCATGACCAGCTGTCGACAGATTATGGCTGAAATGATGACACATGGTCACATTTCTATCTTGCACTCAAGATATTTGTGTATAAACCCGAAATGCGTAATATCACAAGTACACTATCGGTATACGTCGTAGTACACTGGCGGGGCACCAGTGAAGGATGATAAGTGATAAAGAAGCACGTCAGAAGGATGGGCCACATCATGACGAATTCATCAACAATTAACCAGGATGATTTCTAGAAGGAACCGCGTGAAGGTCGACCTGTTAGGGTATATTGCTAACAATATGGCAGTCAGACTCTATTACTAAAAATCCCTTTCCCCTGGATGATACAGGTTACTTGGCTTATAGGGACGAATTAATAAAGAATTAGCCAAATTGATTTCCAGGGTGAACCGCGTGGAGGTCGACCTGATAGACAACGGGGCTGTTAGGTTAGATTCTCAATACTAACAATCCCTTTCCTTTCAACGTAATTGTTTAGGTTACATCAGACGGACCGTATGCTTGATTGCTACCGTCGTTCTATTAAATAATTTAAAATTTAAATTGACTTAAGTTTCCATTGAGTATTTTATAATAAGACTTGTGATGTTTAAAAAGTTTCGCATAAGCAATGGTTTTATAGGAACCGTTCGCATTCAGAGCATAGTGGTGGCGGTCTAATGATATAATTTAACTTATTTTTTCGACCGACTTCACAAAGGAGGTTGTAAATTCGGTTGTATTTTTTTTATGTTTGTAACAAACTCATAACTTTATAATTAGTTGTAAACTAATTCGAAAAAAATCTTTTTTTTATCTGAAA